TACTTCAATAGGTGAATGAAGGAAAGAGAGACAAGCAAGTGTAACAACATCAAAATAAATTGTCACAAAAATCTAAATTCTTGATCAATGGAGAAACAATATCACCTTTTTGGTTCAATAAGATACCAAAGTGTTTTTCTTTTATTTTTGGATTCCTCTCAATGAAATTTGCCATGTTGCACTAAGTTACTTACGGATGTATGCATGCAATCCAGGAACACTTTGGGTGAACACCCATCCGAACAAGTAGGTCGGTATTTTTCTTCCTTTTCCCACATTTCGCTCAAAGGATTGAAGGGATTAGAAAAAACCCTAAATGAGTTCAATTTAAAGCTCTAAGCGGGATACAAAAAATAAAAAACTCCATATCTTACCACCGCTTTACTCTTTGGCTAAATGACACAAGTACATAAAGGGAATTTCATGTATAAAATATTAATAAATGCATGATAGGTGGATGATTTTGGATTTTTTCTTCTTCTTTCCAAATTGGATTAATCAGGGTATCTTTATAATATTGACGGTAGAATTGGGTATATATATACAAAGAGCTTCCATTAAGGGATCTCTCAAATTAGCTTATTTGATGGACACCTTTGTAGGGCCCACTCCGCATTGTATTTCACTAATCCAAACCATCTATGTTTTAGATAACATTCAAAGATCATCTCTAAAAAAAATCACTTGAATCCGATATCGTTTGACTACACAATTATGTTATTGAAATTTTAGTACTTTCTTGAAGCATTGTGTTCATTGATTTTGTAAGATACAATTGGATGTTGAAACGGCTTTCAATTTGTCTAATTTTTTGCAAGGATGATCTACGAATGTAGACTTAAAAAAATAGATGATTTGGATCGTTGGAAAAAAAAATTTCATAGGGTACCCTAAAGGGTGTCCCTCAATAGAAGGGGACTATATATATATATATACATTTTCCAATTTTTAATCTTACACAAGGATTCTCTCTAAACTTTTGAATGTAAGATTATTTTTCTATAGACGTATACTAATTTCATTAATAAATGGGCATTATAAGATCAAAGCCCCACAAAGGGCTCTTGCACACAATAAAAGATACAAACAATAACCACAAGTATTGAAAGACAATGAGCAAAAACAAGTTTACATCTTAAAGACTCATCTCATCACAGGAATTGAAAACATAAGAGGATCCATAAAGCCACTACATCCGGTGCTGTAATAAAATCATATGAGAGATGATAACTCTCTACCAATTTGGGAGTTAGGGATAGAAAACATCTAAAAGTGAAAAAGCAAATTCCGCTCAACTTCCACTAGGATACATCATCACAACGTCTCCCAAACACCCCTAAACCCAAGCACCATTTGATAGTAGATCCACCAAATCAACAGTTCCACCCCTCAATATGGAGATTTGATGGATATCCACCTCATCAACCTCAAACTTGCAAGGACACCACAACAGAAGCAAAAAAGATAGATATATACAAATCTACAAAATCCAACCAAAGGACGACCCTAGAACAACTAGGGGAAACAAACCTTGCAAAACACAAGGGAATTCGTTGATTGCTCAGTACGTGGAAAAACTCTTGTTCGTTGTAAGAAGATCACTAAAGGGGTTGCAAAAGCCTAGCACGAAGGCAAATAGTGAGAGAACTTTAGAGAGAGAGAGGCTCCCCCTTCTCTCTAGAATTTCTCTCCTTCCCATCTTCCTCTTATGAGCTTCTGGCTGTGCCGCCACCCTTCAGGGTGGCTTCTCTGCCACATCTCGTGTGGCCTCTCCACCACCCTCTGGTATGGCTTCTCCGCCACCCTCTGGTGTGGCCTTTACTTTCCTTTGCTTTCGTTTAGTTTGGTGTGTTTTTTCTCCAATGTTTTCCTTGATGTTGGCCTAGATCTCCTCAATCTCTTCTCTCCCACTCCTTTACAGCCTTTTCACCTCTCTCTCCCTCTTCTCCTCTCATCCACCCACCCCCCTTAAGGCCACTTCTCTTCCCCTCCCATGAACTCTTTAACCCTAAACCCCTTCCTTTTTCCTAGGTTCTGATTGGTTGTCTCCTGGTTTGTTGATGCTGCTCATCTCTTACAATCCATCCTTAAATCAGAGCTTTTGCTCTGGAGGAGTTGGCTCTATAGTTTAATGGTCAATTTTGACCAATCCACAGATTGCTTGAGCTTGATGCACGGTGGTGGCTTGCTTCCCCAAATCCACGGTCTTCAGATCTCCTTTGTCGGTTCTCATGGACCTTCCTCTACTGGCGGCGACTGCTTAGTTCTTGGGTGTGATTTTAGGGTTGTGTATGTCTTAGGGTTTTTTGTTGTGTTGGGCCTAAAGTATGTGTATTATGGTTGTACTTTTATTTTGTTTGGTTGTGCTTTTGTTTTTTGTTTTGTTTTTTGTATTGGGCATGTTTGTAACTTGCTATGTTAATGGAATATCCTTTCCTTCGACCAACAAAAAAAAAGCCTAGCACGAAATCAGCTAGGAAGAAAAGCCCTCCACACACCCCAAACCGCTGCCTCCCCCCCCCCAAAAAGTTCTATTTGTGAGGGCTAATTCATGTAAAAAAAAGTCATATAGCAGTAATAACATTGTGTTTGATCGAAATGAAAGAGGGGAAAAAACCAATTTTGATGATTTCGTATACAAAGGTAAATTATGGTTTCATTTGGGTGAGAATGGTAACTATCTTTGAAACTTCTATTTGTTTGTTTTTTTCTTCTCACATTTCCGAAAGATAACAAAACTTTGGCATAATTCAAAGGCTTATATAAATTGATGAGCATGTAACTGAGAATAATAATTTTTTCAATTAAAAATAAAAAATCATTGTAATTGTGAATGCATCATGCATGTACGATGTATTTATTGGTAAATTTATCGGTTTCTTTAAGCGGTCTAGGATTCAGGAAGATATGCTTCCAAACATGCTGTGCACGTTAAGGAAAGAAAAGAACGTGCAAAGCTTGTTAGGTACGTAGCATGAAATTCAAAGTGAAACCCAAACAAAGAAGTTGACCAGCCCTATTGCCTCGATTGGAAATTTTAATTTTTAATTTTAATATGGAGCTAGAAATGGTCAGTGGCCTGTAATTAATTAGCACGCAAATCCATTAATACCATATTAATATATATCCAAGAGAAAAGCCACTACTCCACAACTCTCTCTCTCTCCCTCCCTCTCTCTCCTCTATCTCTCTAACCCCCTAGACTGTTTCAAATACAGAAGTTTTTTTTTTCTTCTCCATTCTCCTCTAATGGATCCCCAGCCCTCTCAACAATCTCAGAAGCTCCAAAGTTTCCCCTTTTCCATTCTAATCAGAACAGAACTTCGTTATGCGGTCTCTTTCTTCCTCCTCCTAGTCTCTTCCTTATTTATTCTTAGTCTTGTAACCCCATTTGACTCGCAGTTTCTATCTGATCATTTGGGTTTCTTATCCCAAATCCTACCAAATAATCACAAGATATCTCCGGGGACTTGTGATTATTCCTATGGCAGATGGGTCCGTGACGAGAGCCATCCACTTCAGTCCTACACTGAAAACTGCCCGTTCCTAGACCCTGGCTTCCGGTGCAGCCAAAGTGGTCGAAAAGACGAAAGTTATCGGAGATGGCGGTGGCAGCCGGCTGGCTGTGATGTTTTGAGGTGAGTTTGTCGTGGAGTTTTCAGAAGCATGTTTCATGCATGACGCTGCACAGTGCACGCATGCTTTGTCTTATATTAAGTCTAAGTTAGGATGGTCTTGTTTGTTGCGTTTGGAGGAGTCTCGCATGTTGTAGCTACATGTTAGGTTAAACTCTCATAGAACCAGATAAATATTCGCGAACATTTTCGTATCCTTAAAGGTTCATTCTGAGCCGGTTTCTATCTCACGTGGTAGAACACCAACTCTCAACCAACAAACAAAAATTAGTCGTCTACTACCCTTATTATTCCGATCACAAAGGGGGCAAACACCCCTTTAAGATGAAGTAGGTACTTTTAACTACATCAAAACTTTAAATTTTAAATAGATTACGGGCTTAAATATTATGGCCGAAGTAAAATAGGGATTTCGCATGCATATTTTCCTTAAAATAACAAAGTTCAAAGTTGACGATATCCATAAGTTCACAAGGTTTAAACAACTAACCTAATTGATGAGTTTTGCTTCTTCCTCCTCGTGATCTCAGATTTAATGCAACTGACTTCTTGGAAAGGAGCAGAAACGGACGGATAGTTTTTGCAGGCGACTCAATCGGAAGAAACCAGTGGGAATCTTTGTTATGCATGCTTGCAGAAGCAGTGTCCAAGAAGTCTAGAATCTATGAAGTGAACGGGAACCCCATAACCAAACACAAGGGTTTTCTCTCCATGCGGTTCGAGGATTACAACCTCACAGTTGAATATTACAGGGCACCCTTCCTTGTGGTTGTAGGGCACCCACCCCAGAACTCACCGGACCAAGTCAAGACCACAATCAAGCTCGAACAGTTCCACTGGTACTCCAAACATTGGGTTGGGGCAGATGTCCTAATTTTCAGTGCAGGGCACTGGTGGAACCAAGACAAAACAGTAAGGATGTATGACCCTCCCTTCACATATCTAATTTTCAATCTATGACCACACATTTACAAAAAGTTTCACCTAATCGACGATCCAAATTAACAGTTCGGCAACATAACAAGCCAAACTCGGGCAAAGTAAAAATCACTGGACTTATTGTTATCTGGCCATCTTGTGTTTCAGGGGATGCTACTTTGAGGAAGGCGGGAAAGTGAACTTCACAATGGATGTGATGGAAGCATTTAGGAGGTCTTTACAAACCTGGAAGTCTTGGGTGTTGAAGAATATAGAACCTCTTAAGACTCATGTTTTCTTTCGTAGCTACTCCCCGGTACATTACAGGCAAGTATAAACAGATATCTATATGACTATAACTTTCATAGTTAAAGTTGAGGACGAAAATTTTCCATTTACATTCTTCAACACTATGGATCCCAAAAGAATGAAATGAAGTCAGTGTAGTTTGGTGACTTTACAACTTTCTATTCCTTAACAGTTGCCACCATGCATGGCCTCAATTATGGAATTGATAATTAAAGAGTCTAAGAGGTTTTAACATGTAAATTGCAGGAACGGGACATGGAATGAAGGGGGACTTTGCGATACCTATTTGGAGCCAGAAACAGACTACAAAAATCTTGAAGCTGACCCAATGAATAATCTATACATATCTGAATCAATCAAACAGATGGAATATGAAAACTGGAAAGTCCAGTTCTTAAACATCACATATCTAACAGAGTTCAGGAAGGATGGTCACCCTTCAAAGTATCGTGAGCCAGGGACTCCAGCCGATGCTCCACAAGATTGCAGCCACTGGTGCCTACCCGGAGTGCCTGACACATGGAATGCACTAATTTATGCTAATCTACTGGCAAAAGGATTCAGAACCAAGTGAGAGAAAAGACAGCATACCTCGAATTCGAAAATTTATTTTGAGTATGGACAACTGTACATAATCAGCATTGCTTCTACTCAAGCTAGTTCCTCCATGCTTTCGTTGGAACTGTCTTCACTGCTTTCCATTTCCTTCAGTTTCTCAATCTGCCTCAAGAGATCCAATCTTTCTGGTCCATAGGTCGATGGTATCTGTCAAAGAAACATATCAATGGACCCTAAAAAACACAAGTTTGGATGTCATGAAGAGTAGGAACTGAAAATCCTTGAAATCAAAATTCACGCACCAGAGCTGGTACATATCTCTGAATAGCAGCCAACATAGCTGCATGTCCAACAGCAGTGACCTGTGAGACACAAGTTATCTCCATGTAAAGTTCAAATAGGTCAAGAGCCAAGAGTGCATCTAGTCTGGTCATGTGTAAGCATAAACTAGCACAGGTTTTGCAAAAATGTTAGGAGAAACAGATGAATGATCGATTCATCATATATTTCAGGCTTTCATTTCCTTTTTTTGGCCTTATGATTGAAGATTATTTAACCCAACCCTGAACCCCATTCCATATTTATGTGAACAGCATATCCAAAAGAGACCAAGTCATATGTCCATAAACCTCCCCCAATGACATATCCGAAGTCGCACATCAAAGCACTATACACAAACAGCATATCCAAAATGCACCTAAATTCCATAAACCTCCCCAATAGCATAAAGTCTAAATCATATGTGGCGATACTCGAACTTCAACTAAAGGGGCAACAAATGCCCTGATTTAAGACAAGACAGAGATATGATAAACCACATCATCCAGATGAAGAACTAAGATGAGAGCTATACCATTTATTTGTTTTTTTTGGCCAGAATCATTCCTATGTTCATATAAGTATAAGAAAGATATCAGGAAGAAATCTTACAGGAAGAAGCATTAAGACACCAATAGGAACAACTGATGCTAAGTCGGTCAGAGTTCTTCGTAAAATTTTCTTTTCTTTTTCTGTCAGTTCATCTCCAATCAAGACCCTTCTAAGCAACCCCGTAGCAGCAGCAGTGTCAATAGCTAGCAATTGAGTTCCTTGCCACACATTCTGCTCATCATTTTTTAGAAATTAAATTTTATTAATGAAAAGTAAATTACAATCTGTGAATAAGCAGCCCACAGCAACAGAGATGAAACTAATACAACTATTATTTTCCTGTGCATCAAAGTACAAATTATAATCGAGACGTCGACAGATCTTTAATATATATCCTAAATCTTAATTGGCTTGGTGGTAATTAAATGGATGGGATTAAAGGAGGCTTGGTCCCCATTCTGAATAATTTTCTCATCAAAGTATCAAAAGAAAATTAGAGTAAAACCAACATTAAACCTTATCCAATTAGAACATCACACATGTTTTGAGATCACAAGTTCAGCAGAGTCTGTACGTATAGTTCTATTTCAACATGCCTAGTCTGATTAAATTTATATATAAGGATTCAAGCAGAGTTGATAAATTTAAGGTGATGGGAATATTCACTTGATTTCTAAATACTATAATTCCTTTTTCTTTTTCTCAATTTTCTTGGCCCAAATGTAAGCCAACAGTGTCTTACTAGTTGACAAAGATCATCATTTACCAACTGAAGCCAAAAAAAATTCATACCGTGCTAGCTTCTTTTAGCTTGTCAAACGATTTTTCAATGATATTCTCTTTCTTCTGAATTTGGACTAGTTGAGCAGCTCCAATGTCATCCTCATACTTAGAACTATCATCAGCAGGCTGAATATCCTGTTAAATAAAATAAAATAAAAAATCTACAACATAAGTGTATCATAAGAGTTTGAATAACAGTTTTTGCAAATTGGAATTTATTGCCTGTCAAATTTCTTATTCGTCCAAGGAATATGGTATTCAGTTGCACACACTTTAAATACCTCCTCATTTTCTGATTGATCAGCACTCCTTTGCACCCGCTTTTCAAGTTCTATCAGCTCATTCCTTAAAAGTTCAAAACGCTGGATTTTAGTTGATTCTGGGTCTTCAAAATCAATATTTGAAGCAGTCTGCTCAACAAATTCATTATCCTGTATGCAAGAAAGGAACATTAATCATGTAACTTTTGTTTGAGAAATTGCACATTTCCAATAACAAAATAGATATATGCTCCTGAATCAAGTGACACAAAGGCAACAAGGAATAATCTCATAATCAGAGAACCAATAGCGTACTTAATAATGGTTCTCCACACTTGAAATAAAGTACATGCTCTTATGATATTTTTTGCATGCCATGTTGCTTAGCTGAGAACAGAGAGTGAATCAGCACCACATAAGGGGCAACAAGGTGGACTAGCAACCCCACTTAGTCAATAACTAATAGCCTAACTTTTCAAATCTGTATTTAAAAGAACAACAAAAAAATATAATAGAGGGCTAATAAAGCAACTACAGGGGATAAACAAACATACATGTTAATATGCATAAACATATTATCATGTGAATGCAAACAAATACTATTACGGTGGCAACTTCAACCTCATTACTCTAGTGATAAACGACCTTGTCCTAACCAGAAAATGAATATCAAAGTAGCGAAATTGTTGTTAACTTTTGGTCAAAACAGATCTAAATTTGGGCCAGCAGTATATGCAACCTTTTTGAGATACAAGAATTCCAGTTAAAAGCTAATGCATTTGGCAAATAAATAGCATGATAGTGAATAAGCAAATGCATAAGCAATTAATGAATAGATCATTGTGAAAATGGGGCATACAGATTCTTCCACGATCAACTCAGGATTGGACTTTCTGGTTGGAGGGCGCATAAAGGAGCTCCACAATCCGCGAGAGTTGCTGGAAGCTCTAAAAATAAATTTTTGAAATAAGATTTGCTTATCATTGAAATGCATTAAACCCCCAAAAAAAAAAAATATATATATATATATATAGTAGGTCATTATGGAGTAATAAAAACTTAAGTTAAAGGAATGGTCAAGCACATGTGCAATAGCTAAAGCGTCACACACACCTGTTGCCCCCATCAATCAGCGTGTTACCATTCTTTCTGTTTTTCCCTATAAGGAACTGTTGCTGCTTGCTAATAGAAGACCGGGAGCGATTACCCTCCTGGATGACAAGCACATAAGTACAACTAAGACAAATGAGAATTCACAAATTTACAAGGGCAAAAAGTCACATAACAAACGTATAAGTGCAAACCTAAGAAACGGAGCTTGGCATCAGATAAGACTTTTTACAATTACAGTGCATTAGTTGGTAATAAAGAAACTTATGAGATAAAGTAGGTAAATATGGGAAGGAAGCCAAACAACATAATCTAAAAATGCAGGCAAAAGCACCATCAGACTTGGTGGTTTTCATCCTCGAATTTTCTATCTAATACATGTAATTATCTATAACTATAGGACACTTTGTAGGTAATTAACCTACATCATTTCTCGCAACACCAAGAAATGAAGACATCCATTTGTTAGTTATAAACACAGAAAAGCTGAATAAATAGAAAGAACAAAAAACTGCGAAGTTCACCAACTTTCTATTAATAAATTAGTTGGATGGTGCACATACATCAGATGTTGGTGGCAAAACACACAATTGTCAGCAAGATATTACAATAAAATGAAGAAATACCTCCTTAAGGGAAGCTGCTTTGGTTCTAAAGGACGCCTCCAAAAATTCAGCCTCTTTCTTGAGCTTCCTTATCTTCTCAAGGTCAGAACAAGCAGCTTTTATATGCTCTTTTCCTGAGTTAGAACTTGACACATGCAAATCCTGAAGCAACTTTTCTAGTCTTATCACAGCTTCTTCAACACTCTCCAAGGCCTGACACCAAAGGCCATTTCCACCATATGATCAGAAGCATTCAACAAGTTCCAAATCAAAAGAATAAGCTTGACTACTGAGCCACAAAAGAACCTTTTTATAGTTTTCACCAGTAAGACCACAAATGAAATGAGAAACTTGTTCATGTAGCTTAGCAGTTAAAGTGGGCCACTGCAATGACAAGGCTCAGAACTACCATCTATAATAATTTTACCATCGTGCAAATTTATTTAACACCGGAACTACATAAGTCTAATTAATAATATCAATAAATCAACACAAAAAAATAATATGCATATCGACCAAAGGCGCTGTGTATTACTTCAAAGTACTAAAAATCTAGATGTCCCTAGCATGGGGTAAATCCACCCACATCCAAGAGCTTGTCCGGGTTCAAGCCCCAGAAGTATCCCTTATATTGCCCCCAAAAAGAAAGTATTAAAAGTAATATCTACAACACATAAACAGGAAATATAGAGCCCTTGTGACCATTAATGCATGGTTAACCCAAAAATATATATGGAACAATACTGGCTTAAAATTTAACTAAAGAAGCATTAACTTAGTGCACTCATAATGAACATAACATAAAAGGGAATAGCCAACCTTGTCAAAAGAATCCAATTCTTTCTCAGTTGGTGGACGAGTTCCAGATCTAGTCCTCTCAACAGTGTTATCGGAATAGCTTTTCATCTTTTCATTCCTGCATCACATTTAAAAGGAGTAATCTCCAACTATTAAGTAATCAAAGTGAATGTTACGGTCAGAGAAAAAAAACACATAACTGACACAGCTCTTGGTAGGGGAGAGAGAGAAAGAGGGTGATATAGAGACATTCACTAACTTACTTCAATAAACCCCGTTCTTCCATACACTCCACTAATTTGTTGTGCCTAAACATTGAAGACAGGAAAAACTTTGTAATTTTTTTTTAAAATGAAGCTCTTTATGGTTCAATCATTATGCACCAAAAGTTAACATACCCTCTAGACAAGAATCTCGCTGCCTTAACATTAGAAGGGCTCTCCAGCCATTTACTGTATTTGATAAAACTCTGCATCCAATGAAGACATACTTCTAGGACTTGGGGGATTGCTTCTGCATTGGGAGGTCCTTCCCATTTACTTTTATGCCCGTGAGACTGTTTAGGGGTGCCTGAATTGCCAGGATAAAATGAAAGCCAGTCCAGCTCTTCACAGACTACCTGGGGAATTTATGTATCATTAGATATCATATTTGAATTACAAAACATTATCCACAAGACGGTAAAGACAACACGTGCTGACCTCTACATACAATTGATAGGAACTTATTGATGAAAGCTGTGGATAGTATAAGATGCTGCCCCCAATCAGGAACCTGCTCATATTGAAATTAATAAATCCACAAGCAAACCATAAAAATCATTTTCACACTAAAGAATTATCTGTCAAAAGAATCCAGGTATACCTAACAAAGCCTCCAAGTGGTTCATCTAAAACATCAAATCCATTTGCTGATAGAAAGTTTTGAGAGCTTCTACCCAAGGCAATAAAGAATCCAAATATAGCCAGATCCCTCTCCAATACCTATACTAATTCAGTATTAGCTTCCCATAACAGCATCAACATAGTACAGAACTGCAACCACATATACAGAAAGGCTTGAAAGCCCCAACTTATACAAGTAACCATCTATTATAGGTATCTTAACGATAGGGAATTTGCCTCACTTTTTTGAAAATGATTTAAGCAATTTCATTATCTGGTTATTTTATTAGTTTCTTCACATTTGAGCCGCATCTTCAGAAACTCTCTTATTATTTTTACTGGCCAACCTTAACGTCCCTTAAAGGAACTCCTGAGTGCAGTATCAAGCATGCTCTATATATTCAGAAGGTTTGACCATTAAGTCAACCGTTGTACATAAGAAGAAGATTCAAACAATTTCATTATCTGGTTCTTTCATTAATTTCTTTACATTTGAGCCACATCTTTAATATACTCTCCTATTATATTGACTGGCTAACCTTAACGTCTCTAAAAGGAACTCTTGAGTGGAGTATGAAGCATGCTCTAAATATTCAAAAGGTTTGACCATTAAGCCAAATCCTGTACATAACAAGATAATTCCGCTCAATACTAAAATATGAAAGAAATACAGTAGCTACTTCTGGCCAGAACTCCCTATTCCTCTGTTACTATCCCCAACATATCCTCATCAGAGACAGTTCCGTCATACCAATGGCACAAACTGGTGAGTAAAATGTTCTTATAATGCATTTCCAACACAACTAATATAATTTTTTGGGGATGATAGGCCTGACATTCATGACTCACACTAATGCATTACACTCCTCATTTGCTTAACCTGCATGTATGTTACCTACAAATTTATTTCAATTGTGAACTTTGCAACCAAGCCACCTAAGGAAAGGTCACAGGCCTACAAGTTGTCCCTGAGGTTATCCATAAGAAGGTTTAAGCACTTACCTCAATACTTTCAGAGGTTGTAAGTCTTGACCATATTCTCTCTCTATCTATAGCTCGCTGTACCTGCATCTGTACAAGATCCACCCAGAAAACAACTTCTTCTGAACCTCGATCATTTTTCACTCTACATGCTGCAGCTCGAGGACCAAAATGAACAAGGAACTCTCTGCGCAGACCAATATCCTTTACAGAAAGATAAGCCTGGCGTATAGGAATAAAATCAACCAGCATGTCCATCAATCTGCCGGTTATATCAGGAATTGTCGAAAAGAATTGAGGGCACGATACTTTTGCTTGCCCAAGCTTTGTAATTGCGGCATTGCATGTCAGTGCAAGCATAAGGAGAGATATGTCACTTGTGTTGCTAGACTCCAAGAGTGTTCCCTTCCTAGACCTGGAAACAAATTGAATGCAGTATTAATTCTACATGCTCTTCAAAGCCATCTAGCAAAATTATAGCACACATTGAGCAATAGATGATAACATACGCGATAGTTGCAGCAGTAAAGCGAGAGTCCCCTTCAAAATAATTAACAAAGGATGTTACCACCAATGGAACTTGCTCAGAGAAAAACCACTCATAAGCTTCAGGTTGCTTGGCTGATAGTTGATCCCGGATTAAGCTCTCAAGGGAAGCAGATTGTCGTAATAAACTGCACCAATGCATTAATCAAACATATTGAAAATCCTAAACCAAATAAATCATATTAATTAATCGATAAACAACAGAAGTTGGTAGAAAGTACACATCAGCTACAATTGAAACCTTTGCATGAATAAAACAGAATAACTAAAATTTCAAAGTCCTCTGTATAGGATGCCTGGCAAATAAAGCAGAGCACACATTTTCCACTGTCAAGTTAACATAGTAATCAACTTAATTTTCAATTAAAAATTATAGTTTGTTCCATTTACACAAACAGTTAACGCCATTAGAAAATAAGGTTGCTGGTGCTGATATTAAAAACTTTATGGTTGCTTTATTTCAACTGTCTGTACAAGAGATCAAATTATGTAAATTGTTTATACCATATTTGACCAAGCAACTAGAAGCAATTCTAAGCAAGGCCAAGAGTCCCACATTGAAATATTGCAAGAAGGGAAGACTCCCTCTCATCTATAAAAGGAGACCACTCTCCACTTAGGAAGGGATCCCCCCTAGGTTGGGCTTTGTATTCAGTCATGGGCTTCTCCCTTTCTCTCTTTATATTTGGGCCCAGCCCCTTGTACAAATGTAAATACACATTGCTATAATAATGAGAATATACTTCTCCGTGGATGTAGCCCATTCATTAAGGGTGAACCACATATATCTTGTCTTCTGTATATTTATCGCTTGCCCAAATCTTCACACACATGTTGAAGGTCCTCACCTTCACCCATCAATCATCATACCTCATCTCTAAGTTGGGCTAAAAAGTACTGAACCATTTTTTAGCGTCAACATAAATGTTAACAAAGTGGGGAAAAGATGACAAGTCCTTAATTCAATACACAGGTAGAGACTCATAGTTAAAGCCCAAATTTAAAACATACATCCTTATTAGAGGTATTGGTAATGAAGGAAATCACAGTTTAAATAGACTAGCTAAGAAACTGATATGACAAGCTTCTAGGTAGTCCAATTCCACACAAGAAGTCATAATTTTTGGAATACAAGTGATGCAATACCTCCTTTGGACAAAAACATTTATGTCTCTGTCTCTACCATCCCCCCGGGATGCAATCTCGCTTGCAGCTTGCAATAAGGAATACACTGAAGCCTGAGAAATTATTTGTCTTCAGATAGGCTCAATAACGGTATAAAATACATTATGTATAAATGTATATATCCACACATATATTATTAATATACTTATATATTGAGAACTAATCGATCAGTACCTAGAACAATAACTACCTCAAAAGGTTCACAAGTCAATACCCATTAAATAAGTCCTATGTAATAGATTTACAAGAAGCTTAAACCAGTTACGAATATGATATAATGCAAGGAGATTTCATGATATATATATATATGCAGTAATTTAGTGGATAAACTAACAACATGACTTTAGAAACACAAATTACTAATTCAACAAGAGAAGTATGAAAGTCATACCATGCAAGACACGTCCTGGAACTGAAGAACAAGTTCACTAACTCTAGGAGGATGGAATAAACCAAGTAGGAAGGAACATTGAGTTTACTCATGCAAAATCTCCCGTACTAAAACTAAAGATTAGAGTGGTAGTGGTTTTCTTGCAACAATAAATATCCGCAAATACAATTGTAGAAGAGTGCTTTCCTTTCCCAAAAATGATAGCAGCATGCAGTGAATCATAAGATGGTGCATACATGTTGAGGCCTATACAGAGACATTAGGGAAGTTCATGACATCACCTGATAACACAGTGCTTTGACCCAGGCATTTTTGTCTACACTAAGCCATGCAGTTGAAAACCAAGACAACTTTGAGAATGAACCCTGTTCCTTAATTGCTAACTCAAAAACCCTGGCTGCGTCATGTAAAAATTGGACAAGTCCATCGCTAGAATCTTCACCATTAAGTGATTGATTAAGTTTGACCTTTATGGCCTCAACATCCCTACTGGTACTTGCTTGAGGAATCCCGTTGACTGTGACACCATCATCAGCAGATGCAAGCGGAACTAGGTTACCCATCCTCCTTGCTTTTCGAAAGTTTAGATAGCATTTCCTATGTCCCACTGCTCGGAGATTAAGACTGTAACCATTACTGTGCTCTAACAAAGCAAGTCTTATAAAGCATCTCTTCCTTGAATAACCCCAGTTACATAATAGATGGTCCAAATCAACCACCTTATTTCCAGAATAATATATTCTAGCTGGCGTCCGCGAATGCCATGGATTTGAAGAGCTGCAAGGAGCAAGTACAGGAATAAGCAACAAATACATACAACACTGCATAACTCTAACGGGTCAAGCCGTAGTATTAGCTGCTACATTTTTCAGGTTTTCTATTACTCGTCATACTTCAACACAAAAACACTTAAAAACCACAAAACTTGTCACATTATTTACTTCCACTCTCAAACACAATACAGTTACACATAATGCACAGTGATTGCACAAAAACAGGCACTTGAAACCTAAAATTTTAGGACTCCATGTGTTAAAGGAACACATTCCCAGTTAGTTTTCGTAAAGACCAAAAGGAAAAACAAAATTCTACAAATTTTTACATTATCTACTGTTTGGTTTACAAGAAAATGAAATGCTAACCACGAACAATCAACTAAAATCGAATTAGATTGAATGAATACAAATCAACATTCAATGATTTGCCATAATCTTATCTTCTTCTTTGCTTTCACTTTCAGCTTATAAGTAGCCAAACATTGAAATACAGAAATTCATAATTAAACAAAGAAATTCCAACGAGTAATCGTATATCATATCCTCAAGAACCCCACCGCAGCTTATTATAAATTAAACTACCTACGGCAACAAGAAAAGAGTAAGCTGCGAAGAATTTAGGGAAAAAAAACGCCACAAAAAAAAAAATGTAGAAGAGAATTTGAGCACCTTGGTGATAGAAAGCCGTTGTGGCACAATTTAGTGGCCATGTACAAGCTAGGAGATAAAACTGGTCGGAAAATCTGCTTGGTTGGCGAGAAAAGCACAGGGAAAATGGAGCGAAAAGCAAAGAAATATTTTGGGGAAGGCTTTAGGCTTGGTGTGTGGGCTGTCTGGGTTGTTTGTGTACAGAGAAAGAAAGAGTGACGTGACAAAATGGAATTATCCGCATACGTGGAGAAGGGTGTGATCACATAACAGATTGTTGGCTCTCGTAATCTCCCTCTCGAAATCTACACAGTAGAACAAGTAGAAGAGTAAAGTGGGGATGGATTGTGTGTGGTCAATATTATAGTAAGCACCCCTGGTGCAGCCATGTGCAGGGCCCAACAGGCCTGTATTGGCTCAGCTCATCTTTTCATCATTTGGGGCCTCGTCCCCATTTAGGCTGCAAATTTTTGTCCACGGTTAGGTCGGTTGTTTAAGACAGTACGCCATATCTTTGTACCAAATTCAATCTTAACTATCGTTTATATAAAAGAGGAAATTGTTTATACTTATGTTCCTCTCGTAAATGAAGTATACGGCATAAAGATGTGGCAAATGTGGCGACTAAATGTTTGCTTTAACTAGCTAGATTGTGCAATTTATTTCTTTATTGTAGAAAGTAGATATGGGTTCGCTTTCAATTAGAACACAAAGCCAAGCTTGCTTCTAGGCTGACAACACCTTTGACAAAAAAGAACAAAGTTGACAACTTCCATAGTCTTTGACCAAGTCAGGGACAAATTTAAGCTACTTGAAACTACACTAAGTACCAATTTAGGCCTTAAACTCGAATTCGTTTGATTTAGTCAATTCAAACCGGTTCGGAGGTTTTTCGCCGGAATTTAGGATATTATGTATTTTAATCAAGGTGGAAGTCTATAAAGAAGTCTTTGTTAAGACAACAAAACTTTAAAGAAGAAAAGAGAAAGTAGAGAATTAAGTTAGAGGAAGACATAGTTAAGTTATTGATTTGGATATAAAGAATAAAGTCCAAACTCTTCTGCACAATTTTTTGCAGATTCACTTCAAGGTGTCAAAAGAACCAAAATGATACAACTGATGGAGATATGGACCCTATAATTTAAGGAACAAACTCTGCATTGCCGGAAATGCTATAATGAGATAGAGTCTCTGTCACTCCAAAACAATGAGAGAAAGGTTAGAGTACTATTAGCAATCAAAATGCTGAGGGAGTATTGTTACTGTAATATATCGTGACGTATCAATTGTCTAGATTCACACTCTAACAACATATATTTTATGTTCATATGTTTTGTCATACGTCTTATAGAGATCTCATTAAGTCGGGTACTCTCCACGACGCAATGGGAAGATTATTGAAGTATGATCCTCACACAAAATAAGTAACAGTTCTGCTAAGAGGGCTTTCTTTGGTAATGGGGACTGCAGTTAGTCTGATACATATCTCTTTGGCAAGCGTCTTTGACAAAGAACTAATGCCTAGTTGTTTTCACATTGTTTTCAAACTACAATCTGGTCAACGTAATTATAAGTGCAATCTGATCTAAGAGATTAGTGGGGGGATTGGTATTTGACATAATAAACTAAAACAAGTTGATATGATTCGGGTCTGTACATGACGTTCAATCTTTTATGAAAGTCAGACTGTTTGATGCGTCATCGAAAATAACCACATACCAAATTACTACATCAAAATAGTATATAATCAATGAAATCTTTGACTAAGTAAACACATCATCCATCCATGCGAGGTTCATCTTAGTCCTAACGTAGAAATTGTGCCCACAATACACGGTTTCACTTTTCTTGCAAGAAGAAAAAAACACACGTTTTTTATTTGTGATTTTCTTTGTTATTGTTTGAGTTTCCAATTACCCTGATCATCGGGCAAGTACATAATAGTCTAAAAAAATGTCGGCCAGACGAAACCGAATACTTGTCTTTTTATGCGGAAATTTGAACAAAAGGCATTATACGTACTTAAGTTGAAGGAGATGAACACACTGTTTTAGTCAACTGACCTAACTCACGTCTGCACATAAAAACACTTTATAATTAATTTAGTGTTGTGTATAAATAAACAATATAGTGTGAGGAGTATTTAATTAATCGTGCTATACTATATTGACCTGTTTGCTATAGTTTTTTAAATTCCAGGAAGCAACAAGGGAATAAAGTTCTTGCACGGAGGAGGATCTTTCACTCTGATAAATCAAATCTCTGGGAGACGTTGACCTTCCCATCACTATTACCTTGATGTAGTTCCTCATTAAATATAAACAAAATATATATTTCACGGGTTCAAAAAATCAACCCAGATTAAAACAAGTAATTAAGATCCCTAAATTGTATAGTAATAATAGGAAATTTGCAACCTCACAGTTAGCCTTCAAGAGCTAGTTAGCATGCACCTCCTTTCTTGTTTGCGATACTTTCAATTCCCATGTGCTTACCCTCTGAGATTTCAACAAGTCATATCAATTAAGTACATAGCAAACCCCACATCAATTAATTAAATTGATCATACCTCATCGTCATCACGAGAACATTTTAAGTGTTACAATGACAACCTACGTTTTATTTCAATAAAACGTATTACAGTCACACATACATGTATAAAAATGAATTAATAAAATGAAATAGTGCTTTCAATAAATGACATCTCAATCGCAACAAACAGCCTGTTAGTTTTAAACTTAATGGGATATTTTATTTAATTTCTTCTTAAAATATTAGAAGCCGGTGCCAATTGCTAGTATATATTGTCTCCTTAATTCTTATGTCAGTTCTGACCAAAAATAATAATATAATTAATTAAACTAAACCTAAAGTTGACATATTTGTTCTCTTTTGGCTCGATATCGTCCCAATTAGGGGTGGGCATCTAAAACCGAAATACCGAAACCGTACCCTAATCGAACCGTACCATACCGATTTCATACCGTTTCATTCGGTACCGATCAATATTCGGTACCGTACCGTACCGTACCAATAGAGTATGGTATGGTAGCGGTATCAAGTATTTGGTACCGATCAATACCGTACCGTACCGAATACTATTCAGAT